TGATGCGGACGCACTCTCTGCGCGCCTGTTGGAGCCGCGCCCTAAGCCGCGCCATTTCGGCCTTGTGCTTCTTCTTCTCAAGCGCCAACAAAAGCAGCTGCCTCTCCTGCGGTACATTGATCGACATGAAGCCACAGATAAGGCGTTGAAAAAATTGGAGAATTCCAATTACATGCCGACGGATGTTTGGTCTCGTGGTTACTACTCCGAATGGGGCACACCGACGGAAAGTCGTCAGAAGTGTCACAGGCCCTCAAGCCTGAACCTCCCGCCACGAAAACCACTCACCTTTTGGGCAGTGCTCATCTCGCTGACCCTGGTCTTCTTGGCCGGAGTATGCTTTGCCGCGTGAGCCGTCCTCGGAGTCATACCCCGGCGGTAGAAGTCTTTGCAGTGTGTGCAACGCGGGACGCCCGTTCTACCATAACTAGGGGTAGCGAACCCTGTGCACTTCCTCGACCAAAGCACATCCTCCCTACCCACCAACCCCATCACGCCCGAAACATGACCGTTGGGGCCCGCCAGGACACCCCTGACATCGGCATGTTGCCAGCGGTCGCGGTCATGCGGTTGCAGGATAGCGGGAACTTTCTCTAGGATTCGTAGAGCCTGACGGACTACGGTCCCAAACGCCGCAACTGTTTCGAGGGGCACGTCTTTGTCTTCGAACATATGACTGCGGCACACTCCCCTACAGGGCCGCACACGTCCGATCGCCCCTACAAGCTTCACAAGGCGCGACAAGAAAGAAGACAACACGAAAAGCGCGAACAATGAGAAGATTGTAAGTACAAAATCGGTGGCAAATTCTCGTCTCATGTAGGGAACCTATCCATCAGACAAGCGCCCTGCTTCCTGTCGCGGGCACGTCCATGTCACGCCCGGAGAACTATCACGTAAAGTGCTCCCACCTAACATACCTTGACGATATCATCCGCGCCCTCGACGTAGTTCTTGCCGTTAAGTTGTGCTGAATCCTTGACGCTCAGATCGTTGAAAGTGATATCAAGCACCGTACCACGGCCGGCAATGTCTGGCGCACCGATCGTGACCTGTGCGTCTCGAATCACGAAAACAGATTAGCGCTTCTCCCTCGATCTAACCGGTAATACAAAGCACTAGAAACAAAAGCAGACACACACATAAAAAAAAGGCGTGCATTATAGTGGCCCCAAACGGACAAGACAGACAGTGGATATGAGGCGCCGGAACAATGGGGAGAGAGAGTACTCCCCGTTCGCGTGTGTGCTGAGCCTTACCAAGAGTCTGATGTGGTCCAACGTACACGCGCAACAACGCGCACCCGGTCAGATGTGCTCGCTGCTCTGAGCAGGCACGGCCTCCAACCGTGCAACAGAGCCAACGGAGGGGGCGACGGCAATAGGCCCGGATGATACCCAATCTCGTACATCACCGGCACCCTTTCTCCAAAGGCAACCGAGGCTTCCCAAGATACCGCAACTTCCGCCCCCGAGGACAAGGGGGGAGGGGGGGAGGGGCAAGAGGGGGACGTAGCCGCTGCGCATCGTGAGTTGATATTCTGCCTACCTATGTCGCTACAGAGTGTTTTTTTCCAAGCGCTGCTTTTCTCTTGTGAATGATGATTCTGGTCGCGTTGAGACGTGAGGTGTTGCGGTGAGACGTGAGGGTTCGTGATTCCTATTTTTGGCATTCACAGACGCCCCAGAGGCAATAACGTTATGGGGATGTCACCGCATCGCGAGACGTATCATGATAGGCAAGAGATGGCGATGACAATACCGATTTGTTTCTGGTGGCCAAGGCTGTCGGGTACCGTGTTTGACATTCTTCTCATATACCACGAACCCCTCCCGCAAAGTATAAGACGGGGGTGGAAGTTTAACGATGAAGGGATTCCCTCTATCAGCACACCACCCACGTTCGATATACAGGGAGCAGATCAACTCCCCCTACATCAAACGTTTTTGGTGTGCATTGATGAGGCTGCACCGGATGGGGTTAAAACAGACTCGGTGGCCGGAGAAACTCATATACCACGAACCCCTCCCGCAAAGTATAACACGGGGGTGGAAGTTTAACGATGAAGGGATTCCCTCAATCAGCACACCACCCACATTCGATATACAGGGAGCAGATCAACTCCCCCTACATCAAAAGATTTTGGTGTGCATTCATGAGGCTGCACCGGATGGGGTTAAAACAGACTCGGTGGCCGGAGAAAAGGCGTATGTTCTCCAACCGATCGAGCTGCTCATTCCAAACCATTTTGCTGCACGAAAGGGAGGCGACGGTAGCCAACTAGCTTAAAAGTCACCGCCTCCTTCATCAGCGATTAGGGCGGAATATCAGCTAACCTGGAGAACTCGCGGATAGCGGAATGCCTTACGCATCAGCATTAAGCCAATGTGGTCAGGACTAGTGAATCTGGTTCCGTCGCACACTTTCAGGGGCGCGTGCTACATAAATCCGTTTGTGGAATAGAGACAATAATTTGGCTTTCGCTGATTCCCCAGTGCCTCCCCTTCCACGCGCTCGGTTGTCGTATCGATTTTCTGTCTCCTTTGCTGTCCAGCTTGTTCGTGGGTCTACGGAAATGGTTGGATCTATCGGCTGCGATTTTGTGTTGCACAGATAGGAGAGATTTCTAGTAGTAGGGGCACCCGTGATGATGTACGGGGGGATGTACTCATAGTCGTGCATGCCGTAGTCGTTCGACCATTGACCTCGCATCCCTACAAAGCCGGGACGGAGCACGCCGGGTTCTCACCGGACCAGGCTCTCACATCACCAAGCGCGAAGCGCCGTGAGATATTCGGCGAGTCGCATGAAGGGTGCGCTGCATCCTGCTAAGGGTGTTCGGCATCTTGTGCTTACTTCCTTGCGTACGGATGACAGCTGCGTATGAATTAATTTATTTTCTGGTGCTTTCACTTCCAGAGACAGTTGTAAGCACTGTGTAACTGCCTCGAGGGTGCTTGACCATTTTAACACAACGTGGTGCGATCATCCCCCTTGCGCGGAGTGAGGGTTCACCCCGCACAACATGATCTACTCAACCATCATTATGGTTACCGCCCAAAAAAAATAAACGGAGGAAAAAAAAAAAAACGGTAACCTGGTTGCCGAGTTCACGAAGTGAATTGGCTTGTTTTACAACGTCGTTGCCAAGCGACGAAAACCCAATCCCGATGGCAAACACCGGGGGGGGCGGCTTGTTTTACAACGTCGTTGCCAAGCGACGAAAACCCAACCCCGATGGCAAACACCGGGGGGGGCGTGATGATGTACGGGGACCTCTTGTTTGTTGTGCTGCAAGCAGCAGCACTCCCTCTTGTGCCACGCCCTGGTACGGGCGTTGTCTCTATTGTACGATCCAGAGTCTACGATCCAGAGTCACAGGGTTCAAAACAGGCCTTGATGAGGAAGATGTTCGACTTTGCAATCCCCACACACAGCAGCAGCAACCCCATCGAGCACCTCTACACACTCGAGCTGCTGTATGCCCGCCTGCGCGAAAAGGGACTCAATGCTGTACCAACAAGCGAAGTTCCTGTTGAAGAAGGCATCGGCGTTAGTTCCCTCTCACCCGAGTACCAACAAGCGAAGCTCCGGTTGAAGACGGCAACGGCGCTGGATAGGGCTGAGATCGTCGCCATCGTGAGCACGGTGCACGCGAGCCTCCCGGAGGGAAGGAAGGCCTCGAAGGGCCAGCGGAAGGCGGAACATACTTTCCTCGCGAGGGACGGTAGCGGCGGCGGAGGAGCGCCGGGCCGCGGCAACAGCGGCCGCCCCAAGGGTGGCGACGGCGGCGGCGGCGACCAGAACCTGCGGATGGAGGACCAGGTTTCAACGTTGGCACGACGGAAGCCCCGGGGCCCACGGGGTCGCCCGCGCGCGATGCGCGGGCGACGCAGGCGATGGCGCCCCCTCGAGCAGGGGGGGCGCGAGCGTCCCCCCCTCTACCACGTCGGCGGGCATGGTCGATGTGGGCTGGCGAGGACGACCGCCACAGCGGCAGCCGCGGTAGAAGCGGAGGCAGTGGCAACGGCAGCGGCAACAGCGACAGCGAGACGGATCTCCCTGCGCTCCGTGGGCCAGAGGCCCGGAGGCTCGCCCGCTTTGACAAGCCCGCGGAACACCAGCCGCCGCACCAGGGAGAACCCTTACCGAAACCCGAGGTACGAGTCGCCGTCGCCGCCGTCGCCGACAAGTGCCGAACCCCTACTCGCCTCGGTGGCGAGCCTGCCCACGAACAGCACGGAGGAGTTCACCCGCTGGATTCTCTCGGCGGTACTTCACGTGGCGGAAGGGCTGGAGGCGAAGGTGGTGCGAGAGATGCTGTGTGAGCGCGCGGAGGAGGCCAACACTGCGCGCCAAGAGGCGGAAGACTTCCTGCTGCGAGCAGAGGACCCGATGCTCAACTCGCCAGACGCCTTCCCGACAGCTCTGGCGTGTCTCGAGCTATGTCATGAATCCCCCATAGCCAAGCGTCCGGTTGACGTAGAACCCCCCCCCATGACCGTGGCAGGCGTTGTCAAGTCAAAGTAAACGGAGCGGTGGGAACAGGCCATGAGGGAAGAGTTTGATGGGCACTTTTTCACGGGAATGTTGTCGTTTGTAGACGGCACGCCAGAGGGGCGTAGGCCTGTGAGCTCCAAGTGGTGTTTCAGTTAGAGGACGAACACGGAGGAAAGATTGAGTGGTTCAAAGCGCGTCTCGCTGCAAGGGGGTTTTCGCAAATCCCGAACTTTGGCTACTTCCATTCGTCTTCCACTTGCCCATCATACGCATCATCCATAAAATTGATGCTTGCGGTAGCAACCGAGAAGGGCGTGAAAATAAGTCACTGGGACGTGAAATAGACGTACACACACACCACGCTAGACCAGGAGGTGTACCTGAGGCTCACCGCTGGGTGCGGGGCGTAATCGAACAAGATCGTTAAGGCTGAGCGTGCCATTTACGGTTTGAAGCAGAGCGGTAGCCAGTGGGGGTACCGCTCTGTTGATACGCTAGTCGAGAACGGGTTCGAGCAGTGCAAGGCGGATCCGTGTGTTTTCCGCAAGATGGTGGACGAATGGTGATAACTATCGTGATCTACGTGGATGACATTTTGGTGACTGGGTCTGACAAGGATTGCAAGGAGTTACTTGCTTCTCTCAACAAGGGATTTCCCACCAAAACCTTGGAGAGTGTACCTGGTTTGACGGGTGTGGTATTGAGAGAGGCGTACAGGCAGGGACTCTTAATAACTCCCAAACCGCGTACATTGACTGCATGGTGAATCGCTTTGATGTACGATGGACCTCTCTCTTTCCTGCTTCCCCTGGTGTCGAGCCAGGACCGAAGCGAAATGACGAGAGTGGGGGGAGCGGCCGGTGAGGGAGACCATCGGCAGCATGATGTGGGTGTTAACATCCTCGCGCCCAGACGTCACGTTCGCCGTGTGCGCGGTAGCGCGCCACGCCCATGCTCCGACGGGGAGGCACTGGAAGGCCATCATGAAAATCCTCGCCTACCTGAAAGAGACTAGGGGCCTTGGCATCACTTATTAACGGGGATCGGGGTCAAGGCTGGCAGTGTACGTAGACGCTAGCTACGCCGACACGGCGGATAGGCCTTTGCTTCCGGGGTTGGCGATGACGGATGGAGGTACCGTAATCAGCCATGATAGAAAGACGCAGCGCATTGTGTCTTTCTCTTCGACTGAGGCCAAGTACATAGCCGCCGGACGGGGTGTGAAGGAGGCCTTGTTTGTGCTTGCAATGCTTTAGTTTGTTGCCCCAGAAACCAGTGACAGCAGCATCCAAATTCTTGAGGGCAACCACGGGGCCATGGCTTTGGTGTAGAACCCCCTTAGATCAACCCGCACTAAGCACATCGACGTGCGCTATCGCTTCATTCGCGGGTTGTTTTGGTCGGGGGACATTTCTATTCAGTATGCATCGACGCCGGAGCAGCATGCCAATCTGCTCGCCAAGGTCAGTCTGCAGTATCACCGGCACAAGTTGATGAATTTTGCCGAAGTAGCTGTGGCAGTTTTAGCATTTGGGAGAGGTCACGTATACAATGCGGGGAAAGACAATACCATCTCGCATTACTGTCGCGGTCTGTGTACCTATGGAAGGACTTGGGGGCGTTGGCCGACCTTCGTCCGGGGAAACATGGTATTCTTGTCTTCGCCTTGGCCTGTCTAATAAGTGCGGCCGTTGGGCATCGTCGTGATGTCTAGCAGAGTTTTTTTTTAGGTGGTTGTGGTTTTTCGAGGGTTTTTGTCCGGGCGCCGGGTTTCTCCTTGACCACCGTATTGGCGTTTTCATCGATGATGTATTCGGGGTGTTTATGCCCCACTTGGTCTATGGTTAATCACTTGCGTGAGGAACCAGGGAAGGTGTTTGTGGGTCTACGGATTTTTGTTACACAGATAGGAGAGCCTACTAGTAGTAGGGGGCCCCGTGATGATACACGGGGATCCTTCCCGCTTGTTGTGCTACACGCAGCAGCACTCTCCCTCTTGCGCCGCGCCCTGTCACGAGTGTTCGTCTATATCATCTCTTGAAGTTAATAAAACAGTCAAACAAGTCTACTCGATGAATACGCGGTAAGGCTGCAAACACAGTTTACATTGCTTCAGTCGTACAGAGTCGACTGATGTTCTCCTTCCCTCCTTTGTGCCCGGAGACTATGAACCTCTCGCCCCCCCGTAGCACTCTTTTGCGATTTTGGAAGCCCCCCGTCCCCTTCGCTGCGAGAGCTCACATGGCGCGAGGAACTCCGAAAGTTTGCCTGTGGTCTTCCGTGGATCCGTTTGAGACGACGAATGCTTGGACGTCGTCCCTCAGGTACTATTATTCCCAATTCCGCTCCGGGAAAATGGTTCCGGCGTTGCCTGGACCCCCGCACGAGATTCCGATACATCGTCCGTGTACGCTTCGGCAGTCGCCCGTCCTCTTGTCCGTGGGTAACGCTTCTTCGAACAGCAATCTTTGTAGCCGGACGGTGAAAGTTCCACGCTTTTGCGCCTTTTCTTTTCCGTATATGGCCCCGTTGTTGGTTCGTGATATATCGTAGAAGGAGCCGGTGTTGATCCTCCTCAGCCATTACCACAACAGGGGGAGGGATGGCACCTAGACAAAGGTCGATTGCTGCACGAGACCGAGGCGCGGAAAGAGCCCGGTATGTCTTCGGAAAGTCCTCGACGAGGTGTTCCCAAAACCCCCATTCATTATTATTTGTGTTCGCACAGCCTTGATGGGGAAATCTAGCTTGAAAATCGGTCGAAGAGGGGAAACGAAGAAGAAGTCCATCGGCTGTACGTCTAGAACGGCCGGAAATACGCCGCGCGGCACGTCGCAGTACAGCAATGCAACTGAACTGTTACCTGGTCGGTCAGTCGGTCGGGCGGACTTCTTATTTGAGCACACCTGGACGGCGCATACTTCTCCGACCCATGTTCTCTCCTCTACCTATGCGTACGTGCATGTATCTGCCAGTAATCCGAAAACCAGAACACCCTCCTTATACGACCACACTGGGAAGGGAGTTGACAAAGAGAGAACGTGAGCAGAATCCCGGAGGTAACGCAGCCGCCGTCTATCTACCCTCCCTCATGTATTGTTACAGACTACACATCTACGAATAACGCACCCTCAAGAGATACATGGCATCGGGGTTGGCGCTTGCTGACGGCTGTTGTACACAGAAAATTGCACATCAGCGAGATACCGGGGCAGCAGGGGCGATGTAGTAGCATGTGTAGCTGTAGAGCTATATGCGTACGTGGGCTCGTTGTACATGTGTTAGATATGCTCGCCGCAGCGCTGGCCGTGTGTTCAACGTCGAGTTCGCCTCCATCCCCGGCCTCGACGAGCGCGGTGACCGTCTTTGGATGGAATCGGCGAAATGGGCCGCCGACGCTCTCAACCAGTCGGCGACCAAGGCCAACCCCGCACGGCGCTCGCCGCACGAGATGTTCACCGGCGAGCAGGGGCCTTTCCGCGTGCTGCCGTTCTTCCAGCCCGGCTTCATGCGTGAGGATCGCCGCACCAAGCTCGACGACCAGGCCACCCTCTGCTACTACCTGAACGGTGGCGACAACCACCCGAGCAGCACCGTCAAGGTCCTCAAGGCATCCACCGGCCGCGTCGTCTACACCAACAACGTGTCGTGGGTGACGTCGGCGCCAGCCGGCGAGGGGGGTTCCGCTGGTATCACCGCTGCGCCGACACCCCCCCCGTTCACGCCGCCGGTCGTCTCGATCAACTTTGGCCCAGCACCGACGCCTTCGACCGCAGCACCGCCGCCGCCAGCGACCACGCCGCCGCCCGCTCCCACGCCTTCACAACCGCCCTGTGCTACTTCGCCGTCACCGTCGGCGACCCCCGCTCCTGGCCAGCCGTCCTCTGCCTCTTCGCTGTCACCGTCGGCGACCCCAGATCCAGACCAGCCACCGCCCCCGCCGGACCCCGCGACGCCCCCGCTTACGGCTCACGCCATGCGGCAGCTTCGCCCGGGTACGAAGGCCGAGGGTATGACAGACCCGCGGCTGCCAAGCCGTACGAGATCGGGCACGAGGCACAGCACAGGACTCATCTCGATGCTAGACAGGAACACTCTGGTGTCGATGCTGGAGGCTCGGAGCGCGGTGGATAAGGAGCGCAGGGAGCTGGGGGGGGCGGAGGCCGGAGAGCCGGGGGGAGCGGGGGCCGGAGAGCAGGCGGGAGCACTCGCAGCAGTGGACCCGGGGGCTGCAGGAGCGGGCTTTCCACTCGCATTTGCCACGCTCCTCGCCAACCGGGAAGACATCGACGCCACGCTGCGAGACCAGCGCCCGCCGGAGCAACGCCCTGACCTTCCGCATTGCCAGGCCAGCGACCTTCGTGTCCCCAAGAGCTACAAAGAGGCCATGGCGTCGGAGCACCGGCACCTTTGGAGCGACTCTATGCAAAGGGGAGTTTTAGGGCTTGTTGGAAGCGGGGACTTTTACTCCGGCGAAGTAGCAACTAGTGGAGAACGCAATTAACGCTAAGTGGGTATTCGATTGGAAGGCAGATGAGTTTGGATGGCCCACTAAGGTTAAGTCGAGACTTGTAGCGAGAGGTGATATGCAGAGAGAGTACATTGACTTTGGAGAGTTGTACGCGCCTACCGTTTCTGTTTCATGTGTTAGGATGTTGGCTGCTTTGGCGTGCGAGTTGAACCTCGACTTGTGTCATTTCGATGTTGAGCAAGCTTTTGTGCGTTCGGAGTTGGAGGAAGACGTGGACATGAGTTTGCCGCAGGGATGTGGAGCTCTATCTGGAATGATTGTACAACTAGGCAAGAGTCTGTATGGCTTGAGACAGCTATCAAGGCAGTGGCATGCAATGCTGAAGAAGTGTTTGGTGGCGTTAGGTTTTGAGCCGTGCATGGCCGATGCTTGTGTGTTTCATTTGATTGAGGATGGATGTGTCGTTTTGATTTTGGTAGTACATGTAGATGACATTTTGCTGTGGGAGAGAGGGAGAGATGTGACAAGTTTGGCGCCGACCTTAACAAGTCCGTGCCAGTGAAGAACCTGGGAGAGTTGAGATGGTATTCTGGGTGCTTTTACGAGAGGAATAAGGAGACCGGTAGGTTGACGATTTCTCAGCAGACTTTCACGGACGAGCTAGCAGCAGAATATGGAGTAGTGGGAGGTAGGAGCGTTCCGATGTCTTCGGGTGTGAAGCTTTCTGATTTTGATGCGGATGAGGTGGCGACAGAGTTTCCGTTTCGTGAGCTGGTAGGATCGTTGATGTGGCTGGCGACTCAGACTAGACCAGACATTGCGAATGCAGTAAGGGCAGTAGCTAGGTATTGCGCATCTCCGAAGCTGGTACACTGGAATGCAGCGATGGATATTTTGGGCTATGCGAGGAGGACGAGTCACTTTGGTATTTCGTTTCAGAGCGGTACGGTAGAGGGATTCAGCTTGCAGGGGTACGCTGATCAGCGGACTTTGCAAGCAAGGCAGCAGACCGTAGGTCGGTATCAGGGGGGATCGTGACGTGTGGAGGAGGCGCTGTGTCTTGGTTTTCCAGAACGCAGAAGTGTGTCACGCTTTCGACCACCGAAGCAGAGTACGTCGCGCTAGGTGACGTAGTGAAGGAGATTTTGTTTTTGAGGCAGATTTGGCGTTTCATGTTGCCGCAGGTCGGCATGCCGTGCATCCCCATCTTCGAGGACAACCAGGGGGCGATTCAACTAGCGCAGAACCCCATCTCAAACTCGAACTCGAAGCACATAGACAGATGTAAGGCACCATTTTCTCAGGGAACTGGTTGAGAGGAAGGAAATTTCGGCCATCCACGTGCCGTCGCCGTACCAGCGTGCAGACTTTCTTACGAAGAGTTTGTCGAAGGATGCTTTCGAGTCTCACTGTGATTTTGTGATGAATTTGGCGTGAACATTTTATTGTTTTTCTGATTGGTTGTGTGTTGGTCTTGTTTTGTTTCCCGTTGTGTTTCATTTCCCGTGCCATGTTTTGTTACGCGCGATGCAGCATTCATGTTTCTTTGATTTTTTTTTCTCTCTCATATTATTCTGGTCAAGTCTTCATGGCATATGTTGTTGAAAAGACTTCTTTTGGTTGAGATATCGGGTGTTAGCGAAGATTTCGGTGAAAAACTGTTGCGAGCAGGGGGGATATTAGATATACTCGCAGCAGTATCTGGTCGTGAGGATCCCAGGGGGATACGTGTTGGGAATTTCGTGTGTTGAAGGGTACCACCGGCGCAGTCACGGGGACCCTTTGGGCGTGGTCGGTGCCAATGGTATATGACCTATACTAAAAAAATTGGATGCTGACAGAGGAGAGCAGAGCTGAGCGATGCTGCCCGGGTTTTCACAATGTATGCTGGCGTGCGCCGGGCTCCCCGGGGCGCGTTTCTAGCTACCCTTTGCAACCCACTTTCATCACGCCCCCACGCGACGACCGCCTGAGGGTTAAGCTGGCCTCTTCGCCAGGCGCGCCAACACCATCACAAGGGAGGCTATGTGCCAGGGTAGAGCGAGTTCCATTCTCGGTGAGTCGTTTTGTCTTGACTTCGTGAGGGCAGCAACCCGGGTAGTTCCGAGGCGAATTCCGACCACCCTTCACGTCGCAGGCGGGTCTGTGTCGCTGAAGAGGGGGAGTTTCCTGCCGTCGCGTGTGTCGATAGTACATGTCTGAGGCTCACGTGGATAGAAATCCGTTTTGAAGATGGACTTGTGTCCGCAGACTTCTCGCCAAAAATGCGGACCAAAAANCTATGTGCCAGGGTAGAGCGAGTTCCATTCTCGGTGAGTCGTTTTGTCTTGACTTCGTGAGGGCAGCAACCCGGGTAGTTCCGAGGCGAATTCCGACCACCCTTCACGTCGCAGGCGGGTCTGTGTCGCTGAAGAGGGGGAGTTTCCTGCCGTCGCGTGTGTCGATAGTACATGTCTGAGGCTCACGTGGATAGAAATCCGTTTTGAAGATGGACTTGTGTCCGCAGACTTCTCGCCAAAAATGCGGACCAAAAATTTCACCGTGGTAGGAGCACCTCGCGAGGAAGGGTTACACCAGCAGGAGTTGTTAAAAACTAGAAACTGCCCAGGCTCGGATCACACACCCCGAGCACCAACGCGCGCCACGCCAAAGCACGCCAAGTGCCTCCGCATGGACAGAATAAACTTTGGGGTTTTTGTCACTCGGCTTCAAATTTGATCGTGTTGTGGGCTCTTGCATCACTCGAGCGCCAGAGATGAGATCCAAAGGAGACACATATTGAACGCGCTCAGTGTTCGTGAGTCTGCGAACATTGCTGTTGGATACATGTGCTGGATGATTTTGTGTCACGCAGGCTGGTAAGATAACCGTTTGATAGGGGGCACCGCGATGATTCACGGGGCCCCTCCTTGCTGTGGGAGCCGCTCTTTGAGCACTCCCTCTTTCGTCCGTGTGAAGGATGGTCGTCTACCTCCCGTGAAGTTAATACATCACCAAAACAGTCTCACCCGATAAATAAGTGGCGTAGGCCGCAAACACTCTAGAGTTTTTGCCCCTCGAGGGAAGCCACATCGGGATGAGCTCTGCTGGAGACGAAGAGCGCGCTGCTGCGAGCGGAAAACAGATCCGCCCGCCGGTGCAGGAGGGCCGCGACGCGGAGCTTGCAAGTTTGCAACGGCAGATTTCGCAATTGGCGGCCCTGGTGGAGGAGTCGGTGAAGAAGAAGGAGCCTGGTAGCGTCGTGGCGGATGCAGCCAGTAGTGGCGGCTGGGTTGCCGCCACCGGAGGCCAAGATCAGCCCCTGCCGCCGCACGGCGGAGGCGGGGGATTTCTCCAGCAGCAAGCGAGAGATAGTGGGCAAGGACCACGGCAGCTGCTGGAAGGCGGCTGGGCCAGCAGATCGGGAGCGAACCCTGTTGGACCAGCCGGAGTGGGCCCGGGCATAGGACCGGACTACGGGGAAGCGAGGGGGTTAAACCCCCCAGGTGAGATACCCGTGATTCGAGGAAATGGAGAATACCTGGACGGCTACAGCAGTAGCCACATGAAGAGGGTAACGGTCAATGCTCCGCTCCTAGACGGAAAAAGCCGTAGCCACGGATTTGACTCGTGGCGAAAATCATTCATCCAAGCTGCGAAGACCATCGACTTGGACGGGCTATTTATAGGAGATGCAGAGAGCAGTATCCCCGTGGGCGACCCAAACTTTCCGACTTCCGAACTGCTCCGTAGGGGGTACACGAGAGCAGAAGTCCAACGGGGGCTTCAGGCGTTCCACTTTATCACTACTGCTGTGGTAAAAGAAGCTGACAAAGCAATTATCAGCAACTGTACGTCAGCGAAAGAGGTCCTTGCGGAATTGGAAAAGGTCTACGATCCGGAGTCACAGGGGTCAAAACAGGCCTTGATGCGGAAGATGTTCGACTTTGCAATCCCCACACACAGCAACAGCAACCCCATCGAGCACCTCTACTCTCTCGAGCTGCTGTATGCCTGCCTGCGCGAAAAGGGGCTCAATGCTGAACAACCCTTCGTTCTCGCCCACTTCGTTGGTTCCCTCCCACCCGAGTACCAACAAGCGAAGTTCCTGTTGGAGACAGCAACGGCGCTGGATAGGGCCGAGATCGTCAGGATCGTGAGCACGGTGCACGCGAGCCTCCCGGAGGGAAGGAAGGCCTCGAAGGGCCAGCGTAGGGCGGAGCATGCTCTCCTCGCGAGTGACGGTGGCGGCGGGGGAGGAGCGCCGGGCCGCGGCAACAGCGGCCGCCGCAAGGGTGGCGGCGGCGGCGGCGGCAACCAGAAGGGGAGAGGGGGTGGCGCGAAGGCTGGAGGCGGCAGCGGAGGCGGCGACGACGATGCGGGTAGCATGCGCGGTCGCTGTTTCCGGTGCGGTAAGAAGGGCCACCAGGTGGCCAACTGCCCCGAGAGCAAGCCCGTGCGATGTGAGACATGCAAGGGCTACGGCCACGACAAGAGCAAGTGCCCGACCGAAGAGGCGGTGCTCGTGGTGGAAGTGCCGGCGGGGAGGGCGTCTGCGGACGCCACAGCACTGGACGTGGCAGAAGAAGCGCTGGTGGTCGGTGACATCTCAGGCGAGTGTCACAAAGTCGTTGGTCGAGGGGGTGTAGAGCAGGCTAGGCGGGGTAGGTATGTTGCCGATACCGGCGCTACCACCCACATGTTCGCGAACTCAGATGGGTTCGTTCGTTACGAAGAGTGTGATCGACGTGTGCGCGTCGCCGCCGGAGAAACCTTCCCTATCGTAGGGTATGGCGACGTGACGGTAACCCTTAGCTCGCGCGACGGTACAACCGACCTGTTGTTGAAACGGGTTGCACACGTCCCCCGACTAGACTACAACCTAGTATCTCTCACTTCCCTCTTCGACGACGGGTTCGAAACCAAAACCCTCAACAAACACGAGTTGGAGTTGGAGAGAGGGGGGGGGGAGGTGGTGTACTTCCCCCGATGCGGTAACCTGTACGTCCAAAACGGTTTCCGCACACACACCGAACATGCCTGTGCCGCAATTGCTCCTGGCAACGCGAAAGCGCCCAGCACCCCCGTTGACATCAACGATTTCCACTGCGCGCACGGCCACTCCCACGAGGTGCTGCTGAGGACCACGGCGAAGCAGCAAGGGACGACGCTGGTGGGCGAGCTCCGGGAGTGCCTGGGGTGCTCGACGGCGAAGGGGCTTTCCAAGCCCATCCCCAACAAAACGTCGACCCGAGCAGTTAAGAAACTGCAGCGAGTTTTCGTGGATTTGAGTGGAAAAGCTAGGGTGCAGAGCTTGGGGGGAAAGTGGTACACTCTCATTGTCAAGGATGATTACACAAGGTGGAACCGTGTCTATTTCCTGAAGCACAAATCAGACGCAGCTGAGGCATTCGAGAGATACCTTGCCGAAAACCGGGCAAACGGTGCCCCGTCCGATGTCATGGTCGTGAGATCTGACAACGGAGGAGAGTTCTTTGAGGGAGAGTTCGGCAGGGTGTGCCGGAAGTACTGCATCAAACAGGAGTTCACCCCCGCGCACAGCCCAGAATACAACGGTGTAGCTGAGAGAGCACTGGGTCTGATCAAGGATGCAGCACTAGCCGCCCGTATCCAAGCACCAACTCTTTACCCCGGAGCACCGAACTACCCATCCCTTTGGGCCGAGGCCATAGCTTGGTCATGCAACGCCCTGAACTGCACCTCCACCACATCCAACCCAGAGAAGAAGTCGCCGTACGAGATGTGGCACGGGCACCCTCCCCCGCCGGGGGCGACGTACCCGTTCCTCAAACCTGCCGTATACAAGGTCAAGCGCACACACAAGTCCGAGCCAAAAGCCCAAAAGTGTTTTTACCTCGGCCCGGGAATCAACACCAACCGTGATTGCGTGCGCATCTTGAACGACAAACGCCGAGCGATCACAACTCGCAACTTCACCTGGCAATCCGTGCCCGCCGCCCCCGCCGCCCTGCCCCAGTCGCTGCCTCCCATCGCAGAGGAGGAAGAGGAATTCGCGACTGAGGAGGACGAGGTTGGGGAGGGCGCGTCGAACCAAGGTGGAGGGAGGGCGGAGAGAGAACCTGTGGATGGAGGACCAGGTTTCAACCTTGGCACGACGGCAGCCCCAGGGCCCGCGGGGCCGCCCGCGCGCGCAGCGCCGGCGGCACCGCCGGCCGCGCCCCAGGAGTCGGGCGCGGGCGACGCTGGCGATGGCGCCCCCTCGAGCAGGGAGAGCGCGAGCGTCGCCCCATCTACCACGTCGACCGGCACGGCCGATGTGGGCGGCGGCGAGGACGACCGCCGCAGCAGCAGCAGC